AAGAAAATGGTATACAAATCCCTAAAATAATCGCTTTCTTCTGAAATTGCAAAACACAGTGTAACTGTCTTCCATGTTACATATAGAACACAAAAATGCCTAAAAAAAATGTAGTGTCATGATTATTTAAGGGCCTACACAGAAATATATCTAAAAAATACGAATGATCATAATTCTGTCACATTCAATGTGTGTACAAATATGAAAGGAAATAACGCTTTTTGTTTAAAAGATTACTGGGAATAAATGACTTCTAAGGTGTATATGTATTGATCTTATGCTGTAACAATGACCAAAAAGATTCTCTACATCCACTAAAGTTAAGCTTGTAGTCTGAGTCTGTCCACTAAAGGACTGGGCACTATTCAGGGAAACGCTCCGAATTTTTTTAAGCTGGGTATGGGAATATAAGTCTGCTGGGAAAGGCGTGTTTGTGTTTGGATTCATTACTGGAGGTTTTGTGACCTGCTCTGTTATTTGGATATGTTGACGTGCATCCTGTAAAAAAGTCTCTTTGAGTGGGGGAAATGGTGTAGGTTTGACAGGCACTGGGGTTGGTTTTTGTGTTTGAATGGGTTGTTTGTTTATCTCTTGAATTCCTACGCTAATGCCACTTGGCTTAAGTGAAATGAACTCTGTAGTGTCTTGGGTAGATTCAAAATTCCGGTATGTTGGTGAGTCCTCCACAAAAGCATAAAACACTGCACCATGGGGGGTAGAATAAGAACAAATCAAGAAGATTCTCTAAGGTGTGTTATTATCTTGTTGTTTATTGAAGAAGGACTTACGGGATATCTTTGTGTAATCTTCAGTTGTTTGTTGAAGGGATTCATTTGTCTCTGTATTACTCAGAAGCTTTGAACCATAAGGAAAGGAATTAGTAAATAGCTCTTGCTCACTCTCTGGAACCTGCAAGGTTGGAAAAAACAACTAATCTCAGATCCATGATTGTTACCAGATGCATGTATTGCAAGGTATTATTCAACCAATTTAAAGAACTAAATCACTGAAAATGATCAAAATGGTGGAGAATGTTAATGAAAATGCCAAAGTACTCACAAAACAATGACAGAGTCAGTCACGTGTTATAAAGCTAATGTCACGGATGGCACAGCATGACTATCTCTGCATTTTGCATTACTCACAGTGGGCATAATCGTTTTACTCAGTGCTTCCTTATCAGGTGGGACATCAGAGTCAGCTTTAAGTTAGAGCATTTGGCTGGTTAGATAAAACCAAGATGTGCAAACATGAAACTGATGTTTATTGACTGGAGCTATGAGAACTAAAACAATCTTAGTTCTCATGCTTTTTGCTCACCAGTTACAGTTATGATGACACTTCTCACATCATGACCGACTCTGTTTTCTGCAGTGCAGTGATACTCTCCTGCATCAGACCGGTGGATGTTGGAGATGACTAATGTCCCATTATCTGTAAAATTCATTTTAAATTGAAAAAACGAAAAGTATGGCCTACAAGAAAAAAAACTAAATCATATGGTAAAACCACAGTCTGTCCAATATGTAACAAACCATCAATGTGTATCTGTTGTGGGAGTGAGACCGGAGAGTTTGAACCAGACAGTTCTGGTGAATTTTGTATCGATGCAGTTCTAATCCAAGTGTACTTGACAGGAAAATCTCCAACAGCTCGACAAGGGAGACTAACAGGTGATCCCTCTGAGACAGTGAGCGATGCAACGAAGGAAACAATGACTGGCTTCACTGAAAACAAAAAGATATGTCAAATTTGATCTAAATTAGAAAATTAGTTGACTTTACCTAAAAAAGAGAAGAAACCCATTGCCTTAAAAATTAAGCAAATAAACATCATGCCTAATTGAAAAACATCAGTTATGTTAACCTGACTTTTCTGAGTTACAATGGCAATTAAAAGTTATCAAAACAAAAGAAAAAAAATTATGTTCCACTAACTTAAGATGATCAAAACGTAATTACACAATAATGTAAAGCTAAATAACTTAAAACTAGTCTTAGTTACCAAACACTTTGAGTATATTCTCAGCTACAATCGGTCCAAAATGCAGCAGCTAGAGTTCTTACTAGAACCAGGAAGTATGACCATATTAGTCCAGTTCTGTCAACATTGCACTTGCTCCCTTTTAAACATCGTATACATTTTAAAATCTTGCTAATTACTTATAAAGCCCTGAATGATTTAGCTCCTCAGTACTTGAGCGAGCTCTTATCGCATTATGGTCCTTCACGTCCTCTGCGATCTCAAAACTCTGGCCATTTGATCATACTGTACCTAGAATATCAAAATGAACTGCGGGTGGCAGATCCTTTTCCTATTTAGCGCCCAAACTCTGGAACAATCTACCTAGCATTGTTCGGGACACACTCTGTCAGTTTAAATCTAAATTAAAGACCCATCTGTTTAACCTGGCATACACATAATATACTATCACATTTCTATAATTCAAATCCATTAAAGGATTGTTAGGCTGCATTAATTAGGTCAACAGGAACCGGGAACACTTCCCATAACCGCCAATGTATTTGCTACGTCGTAAGAAGAATGGCATCTACGCTAATATTAGTCTGTTTCATTCTTATTGATCAGCACTTAGAGACGACCTCTACAGCCCTGAATGTCAATGGAGACCATGTCAACTAGATGAGCCCTAGAGACAGATCCCGTGCGGAGACCTCGACACCTAGACGGCCATCGGCACAAGACCACGGGAACCAGACGAGTCCTCTGCACAATCAGTCCTGCGTTGCAGCCTGGAATTAAACCACACCATTATGGTTTCATCTGGCCAGAGGAGAACTGGCCCCCCGACTGAGCCTGGTTTCTCCCAAGGTTTTTATTTTCTCCATATCTGTCACCAATGGAGATTTGGTTCCTTGCCACTGTCGCCTTTGGCTTGCTCATTTGTGGACACTTAATTTCTGGCAGTATTTTCGGCTTGATTGCACAGACATTATTTGAACTGAACTGAGCTGGACGATGACATTACTGAATCGATGATCTGACTTTAACTGAAAAATGTAGTGTTTTCTATTGTCATCCTACATTATTGACACACTATTTTCCTGTTTAATACTGTAAAACTGCTTTGACACAATCTCTATTGTATTAAACGCTATATAAATAAAGGTGACTTGACTTGACAAATAATATGCTGATTCCCAGAGTGCATTGAAGATGTATAAATTAAGCAATTGCTTTGTTTTACTATTTTCCAGCTTTAATTGCCAGTTTCGTTGCCAGTGTTTGTTGTCAGAATTAGCCAAAAAAAATTAAAATTGTAATGTTCAGAGCCTTATCATCAAATTAATTTGATTATTACCATTGTTATGTTTAGCATGCTGAATGTTGATGTCTGTGTGTGGCGCTATTAAGATCACCAACTAGCTCCACAGTACCCATTAATAGTATGATGTTTATGATACAGGTGTTAGTAGTACAATTTTAATAGGCCATAACTTTACATTGCCACACAAAATGTGAATTAGTTTATGATCTATTTTGAAGTTAGATCACTTCTAAAAAGCAACCCATGGTACTAAATGATTAGCATAATAATGTATTCATACATCCTCTTATTTCAAAGAATATCATGGTACATGTCCAAAAGGCATGTTAGTAGCATGGTACTTTTTGCTAGTATGCTATTTTTGCAAAGGGAGATTTACCAGCAACCCGAAGAGTCATGGTTTTCTGATCGTGACCCAGTGTGTTGGAGGCTGTGCATGTGTAATGTCCTTCATCATACGTTCTCACTGATGAAATGTAGAGTGTTGTGTTTCTTAACCTGGGAACAAAATGAATTCACATGCACCACCTGGTAAACAATAACTACAGTTATAGTTAATAAACTCTTCATGCAAAACGTACCCCATTATAATTTTGCCTCCAGTTTGGACAGACCGGCCCTGCTTTGACCACCTGATGAAAGGAGTAGGGTGTCCTAACACCTGGCAGTGAATCGTCACTTCAGCTCCGACAGGAGACGTCACCACAGTCGGCCAGATAGTCACGGATGGAGGTTCTGATATAAAAAGGCCAGATTGACCATAGAAAAATATAATTATGGGAGCTGAGCAAACATAATGAAGAGTACAAGTCACAAATGATAAGCCAATCAATTTTTTAAGTCAGGGTTTTATGGGTTAGATAACTTCCATCGGTCCATGATAAAACTACAGGTGTTTCAGGACATTGTGATAGAAATGCCAAATTAAATAAAATAAATTTGATTAGAATCATACGATTCTTTAAAAAAACTAGAAACGTAATCATATCATTTTTATACAGGATTTAAACAAACTTTAACCCTTAACCCTTGCATGTTTTTAATTAAATACTCAGGGTAATTAAATTACTCGCCACAGCTTTTAACAAATTTATAAACTATGATTAATTATTACAAATTATTAAAAGTCATTCGGCAGATTCTGTCTGGGCCTGATTTCAGTAGACAAAAAACCCTGGTGTTTATGATTTCATAAACCTCTCTCAGACAACACCTAAATCAGGATCTGATAGATCTATGGGTTACTTTCAAGAAAGCCAAATAATTCCTTACCAAGAACATCCAGGAAGATTTTTTTCGATGTGAGAGCTCTTTTGAGATGGGAATTAGAAGCTGTGCAGAAATACAATCCACTGTCTGTCTCTTGTACACTGAAAGACAGAGACTCACAATTAAAATATGAAAACATTTGGACTGTTTTCTCTTATTACACGATTCAATTTACAGATAATACTATCCAAATTAAAATATGGACATGCACACACAAATATACACAAACATCACAGTTTAGCAAAACAGAGTACATAAATGGATAGAACTGCAGCAAACGAACAAATCCACACAACACACCTGTGGAAGACCAGGTCTCCATTATAATCAAAAGTATAATGCAGTCCTGTTTGGAGGAGTCTGTTGTTCTTAAACCAGGACACTTGTGCTTGGGGTCTGCTGTGAGGAGGCCTACAGGAAAGAGTCGCAGCTTCACCCTTCCTCACTGTTAGGTTGGCAGGTTCAAGAACAAAACTCCAATCCATAACTGTGTCAAAAGGGATGAAAGAATGTGCTAAATAGAGGATAGGTGTGAACAGCTGCCACCTGGAACGAAAGTCGACTCATCAGAAAAGGAAGTACCTGCTGGAAGGAGGTAGGCTGGTTCAGATATCACTTTCTGCCTCTCATTGCGAGCTTCACAGAAATACAGGCCCTCATCTTCTGACAAAACTCTACTAAGAACATGATTTTCACACTTGTTTTCACAATGTCTTTTATTGTAAGTATTTAACAAAATGGTATTTTTTACATATGGATGTATTAATGACCATTATATTTCATAGGACTGTATTTTATTATACCTATTTATTCTTGAAGAAATGTATATATTTTGTTGTTGTAATTGCACACTTGTTTATTCATAATCTACCATTGAAAAACCTCACTGAAAAATCAGCAGTTGCCCATCCTTCTGCAGATCCCATCTAGAAGAACTGGGTAATGAATGTCCATCCTTAAACCACTGAACTGTGGGAATGGGCAAGCCTTCAACAAAGCAGTGCAGTGCGATTTCCATTTCAACAGGTACAGTGACATTTTGGGGGCCTTCAATAATCTTTACGTCTACATTAGAACCTGTGCAATAGACACAAAGACACTTGAATTAATATATCAGTAACTGAGTAATAAGAAAGTCAGAGTTGTATATGCAAAATATATCAGAGTTGTATATCTCTCTGTCTTACCATGCACTGTCAGAGTTGCTGCTTGACTTCCTTTGCTTATATTCAGCAGAGGATTGTGGGTGATGCAAATATAGACTCCTTGGTCTGCTTTGGTGATGTTAGCCATGTGCAAAGTGCCAGAAGTCTTCCTTTGACTCCCTCCTCCATACTGTCCCTAGTGGTAATACTTAGTATTCAGCAATGAAAGATTATTAAACTTATCACAGAGTCCTATATAATTTCTACTTTTGATGACAAGTTATGGGATCTGACTGCACAAAAACCACAATCTCCATGCATTAGTCGTAGTCGCACTGTCTTGTTTGGACTTTCATTTTGACGGCACCCATTCACTACAGAGGATCCATTGGTGAGCATGTGATGTAAAGCTAAAATCTGTTCTAATAAAGAAAAACAAACTCATCTACATATTCGATGGCCTGAGGGTAAATAAATTCAGCAAATTATCATTTTTGGGTGAACTGTTCCTTTAACAGGAAAAATATCACCAAACAATATAATTTAGTCATAACTTTAGGGGAACTAGACAAAGTCTGTTCGCTCAGTAAGTATAAATTAGCCTTTAGATTTATCAATTTTAAAAAATAGTAAAACTAAAACCAGCTTTCGATTGTAATTTATTGTAAGTTATTTCATTATAATCCTCATTTGATGGGTTAACAGTGTGTGTAGCTACTGGTGTTTTGTACTTCTGTACCTGAATCTGGTTCCCTTCGGTGAGAATTCTGCCATTTTTTAACCATGAAATCTGAGCGGGAGGAGAACTATCACCAGAGACACACTGAAGGAAAACATCATGTCCCTCTTCAGTTCTCATGGACTGAGGGTGAAAGAACACATCCTTCAGGCCTACAAACAAACAAATTACAATCAATGACAATTTGTGATACACATCCTGTGCGCAGGTTTCTGTGTGTAACCATTAAAGGGATAGTCCTCCTAAACAAGGAAATTACTCACCTTCATGTTGCTCCAAACCTGTTTGACTTTCTTTTTTCTGCTGAACAAAATATAAAAAAGATATTTTGAAGTATGTTGGTAATGAAACCGTTTCGGTTCCCATTGATTTCCTTTTGGAACAACTTGACGGTGAGCAAATGATGACATAATTTTCATTTTTGGGTGAACTATCCCTTTAACGTCATCTGTCTTATTTTCATTTCATTAATTAATAGAACTTTACAATATACATACATGCTTTGCTGACCATGACAGTGGTCTGAATCTGTTTGTTGCCTCTTTTTGCATTACAGGAATAGTTTCCAAAGTCTTCCTCTTTTAAGTGGGGAAAGAAAAGCGAGCCATTGGCCAACTGATGAATCCTGCTGTCCAGACCTCCAGCGTCTCGCTCCCATTTCACTGGTAGAGGAGCCTTCAGGCCAGAGTCAAACACTGTGCAGTGCAGCATCAGAGAGCTATTTACAATCCCAACTCCATCTTCAGCTAGCACTGAAAATACTGAGCAAAAGAGAAAAGTGTGTAAGGAAATAAAATAAATAAACAATGGTAATAAAGTATAAAAAATAAATAAGATTATAATATATAGATTTTTTTATTGACTTTTGTTGATATACCCTAATGTTATCAGGCTAATTCAGACATATTAAATAATATTTTTGACTTGGGTAAAAAGAGTTCATTTAGATGCTAGATGTTTCAGAATTTCTGAAAAAAATATAGAGTGTAAAACAAGATTAAACAGGTGTTTTCTTGCATTTTGCATAAAATGGGTTTCCACATATTTAGTGAAAATTAAATTTTTTGCTATTTTTTTATTATTTTTTATTTATTAATCATAATTTAATAAAAATTATATCATTAACCTAGCAATGAGTAAAAAGAGAAGAGTAAATATGTCTTATTCACTTTACATTACTTTGTTCTATTTTTGTTTGTTTGCTTTTTTTATCATAAAACTGTTTAAATTAGATTTTTAATCCCAATATTTAATGTAGTGTCAGGTGTCTTCTGTATGTCACAAAACCAAATGTACTAAAAGCATCATCTGTAGCATAAATAATTTTATATTGCATTAGCATTTGCTTACTGTTTACAAAGTAATAGCCAGCTATTCCATAAATTCAGTGTATCTTTCAGCACATTAAATCTCATTTTAAATGGGCATCACTTTGAGGAAGCAGGGCTAGTTTGAAGTCCGCCGTTGCTAGGTTACACGTGGAGCAGCACAATGTTTTGGCAAGCCTTTTGTCAAATTATGCAAGCGTATAAAACATTTGCATGGCACACATGCATTTTTATGGGCCTGTTCAGCAGAACAAAATCCAGCAAAACAACAAACACATGCACTTGCAGCCAAAATACACAGATTACACTCACCTAATTCAGACACAGCTGGATTAAACCTGATAGAAGAGGACAGAAGGAGGAGCCAGAGTGAACAGGACATCTGAACTGAGCTCCATACAGGACGAGACATGCTAGACCTCTTCATCTGTGCCTTTCAAATGAAGATAATGGTCCATAGCATCATTCCTCATCTGGCCAAATGCATTCATGCACTGCAAAACAAAAAGTCCAAAGTTCTCATACTAATGCAGGATTCAACATAACTGCCTTTCATAAGATTGGATAAACAGATAGCAGGCATAAAGTAGCCTAAATATCAAAACATAAATACTTGTGCTGTGCCCCGTTTACCGTTGTGAGCGTGTCTTCAAAGAACAAGTGCAAATCACAACTCTCACACAGCGCAGCAGCACCTTCCTTCTCTTTCTCACTGCATATTCCTATTTTGGTTGTGTTTCATTATCACTATTATCATCACAGCCAGCCTTTGTATACTACAGACCTCTTTACTCTCTTTAATAGACTGGCCACTTTACACCACACAGCAGCAAACCCTCCATTTACTGATCGTAACATGAAAAGAGCAGGGACGCTTTGTACTTAGAGGATCAGTTAGAAAGCTTGTAAGGAAAGGTTTGTACTTGATCACATAAGCTTTCATTGCCACTGTGTCCATGTAGGGCGGTCTTAGTTGATTGTTTCCCTAATATGGCTAGTACATGGTGATGCTATGATGCTGTAAATATGCTTATTTCTCTACAGGCCTCAGTAGATGAGTTCAGCGTGAAGGAAGATATCCATAATTTGACTTTAGAAGCTTATTAGCATTTAAACTGCATGAAGGTGCATAGTGAACATTTGTAGAAAAATCAGTGGGAATTTGGAACATGTTTAGAGGTTTGCATCTGTTCTAAGTGCAGTCTTCCGGTCCTTCCATTTTTTCACAAAAATATTACTCAATATGGGTTTCGTATTCACAGATAATGTGTTAAATATTTATTATAATTTATAATTATTATAATAGTTATTATAATTTAAGTTATGGTCTGAGAAGTTTTAGGGGGAGTGAATGATAATGTAATGAAATATTTTGATAAAATAGGTAGAGATAATAAGAGATAATCATATTAAATATCACATATAATATTCTATGACCACCTCTGATTTCTTTAGAGTGGAAATGTATCTGTTTTAAAGACTAATGTCAGGTAAATTTGTGGGTCATGTTTTATGTATATAAATTCATATGTTCATTTTTTAATTTTTTTTATGTGTTTATTCATTTATTTATTTATTTGTAGGAAGATTAAGAAAACAATTGGGAGGAAGAGTATTTTTAATTAGTTATTTTTAGATGTATGCTTTACATGCCATAGAAGTCCTCTTTCTCTGCTTACGTATAATGTGTTATCGTTATTATAATTAAATTTTTACATTTTTAGACCGTCCAGTCTATTATGACAGAGTATTGGGAGAGCAGGTGAGTACTCAGGGGCAAACAGAAATCCCATGAATGAGCGCTTCAGCCTTATGACTCATCTGGCATGGCCCATAGACAGCAGGTGGGTGAGCTAATGGGATCTAATGCCAGGAGCGTGTTTTCTTTAGCCAAACAACAACCCATTAAATGAAGAAGCAGTTTAGCAATTCATTAAAGTATTGAATATTTGATCCTCTTACAAATACATTCTAAGCACTCCAGAGAAGGAATTTCATTTGTCTGGCATTAGTCATATGTGACCCTGGAGCACAAAACCAGTCTTAAGTCGCTGGGGTATATTTGTAGCAATAGCCAAAAATACATTGTATGGGTCAAAATTATTGATTTGTCTTTTATGCCAAAAATCATTAGGATATTAAGTAAAGATCATGTTCCATGAAGATATTTTGTAAATTTCCTACTGTAAATATATTCAAACTTAATTTTTGATTAGTAATATGCATTGCTAAGAACTTCATTTGGACAACTTTAAAGGCAATTTTCTCAGTATTTTGATTTTTTTGCACCCTCAGATTCCAGATTTTCAAATAGTTGTATCTCGGCCAAATATTGTCCTATCCTAACAAACCATACATCAATGGAAAGCTTATTTATTCTCAATTGCTGGTTTTGTGGTCCAGGGTCACATATGAGGATATGTGGGGGAAAAGTAAAGAGAAAACTTTAGAATAACATTTCATAGTTTACCTATTTATGTAAAGCTATGAATTACAGTTTAGTTTTAATGACTGATAACATATACTTTTAGTTGAATTCAGAATCCACCTGCAGTCATTCTCAAAAATGAAAATATAGAAAAGTATCCAGCTGGAATAATAAAAACAATCTCTACATTTATTTATTTATTTATTTGTTTGTTTGTTTGCAATTTGAGCAGCTAACTGCTGATTTTAAAGATTTGCTCATATATACTGAATGCTCATTCTATTGATTATGACTGCTGTTTGACACTATTAATCTATGAATATTTTGAAATTATTATTATTATTTAATTTTTCTTACCAGGCGGACAGACAGTAAATGGTGAGTAAAATTATTTCTCAAAGGATATTGAACATTTTTCATAGGACAGAATTTTTCAGCATTTTAACCAGTTTGATTGATATTCAATCTAAACAAAGATTAATATCCTTTTCATAGTCTATACACTGAAAAAAAGACCTAGAATTTACTTTAAATCAATTTTCAATTATTTTCGAGCAAGACGTACTCCCATAATCTTGGAAAAATTTGAAAAAAAAATGTTTTTACAGTGTAGCTGTAAACAGTTAGAGTTCACTGTCAAGGTAAAAATAAAAACTGTTGTATACTATTGTATATACATAATTGTGTTGATTGTATATTCTGTGTTACTGTGTTGTGTATACTGCATCTGCATGTCAACATTTGTCATCTACATGAAAAATCATTACATTTACAGTACCAAGAGAAGACTTGATATGAATTGATTAATTGAAAATTAGTGTATTTATGCTTGTATACACCATTATACAAAATGTAAAATAAATGAATGTAACTATTTTGCATTAACTATGCAATTAGCATATATCATTATTGTAACAATTGCAAAAATACTGCACTTACCCATGAAGAGCAGAAGTGTTAAGCCTCATGCAGTGCAGCATCTCTGTCAGAGAGCGCTTGTCACTGTGTGTCTTCTGCTTTATCAAAGCAACAGGTTTGATCTAATGATGGAGCAGCAGACACACATACAGCACACAGATGGGCTCTGTGGCAGAGCACCACCCCTCCACCGCTACGAACAATATGAGAGGACTAAAGCACCACTCTGCATGTGTTGAGCAAAATGAATGAGGCCACAAATAAAAACCTAAAACATGCAGTTTGAGGAAAAATGAGAACAATTGTGTTCCAATTCCCCCGTAATGGTTATTCATAAAAGGTGTCCACAAGTCTAATAGCGTTTGTTGTACACATGGGCATAAATAATTTCACACCTGTATGTGTGTTTGGCTGCATGTGATTAATTATATTATAGCATAGGCCCTGTTTAAAGTACTAAAATACCTATCACTTATATAAAAGATAGTGGTTTTTAATATTACACACGTTTTGTATTGCATGTGTTTAATTAATTTTGTGATATTTTTGATATACTTTCAAATGACCTGATTCAAAATTAGCTGATTTAATTTTCCATTCCAAATATACTGTGTGTTTAGAACTGGTTCAAAAATCAGAAAGAGGGAAAAAATGCTGAAGGACAACATGTTCCATCCAGTAATAAATGGATACATTTCTTTAAGATCAGATTGTTATAATAAATAATCTGATCTTAAATGCAAAAGCTGAAATGTAAACCATAATGAGTCAGACAGCAGAAACAATAGTACAGATTTTACAATATACCATTTTAATAATATTAGTATTTTCGTAGAATTACAGTACATGTTTTGATAAGATTTTAGGAATATAATAAGAAAGTTAGTGGTTTTGGGGCAAAATGTAGCAAGTCTTTGCAAATGTAAATCAACTTCATTTCTTTTATCAATTCAGCACAATCAGATGTAAATTAAAGTACAAATAGCCTAATTTTTAATCTATGCAAGAGGGTGATTTTAATTAACTGAACAAAGGCCAATTCTTTTGGCTAATGTGATATTTGCAGTAGAACATCAAACACCCAAAGTCTGCGAATGGCTCCGAATCATTTCATGTTGCTACAGTAATTATCAGCGAGAAGCGACCTCTTCGTGTGCTGAAACAGAATCGACAGAGAAAACATCTTTGTTGAGGCCACAAGCTGTGGTTTAATTCTTTACTTACATTTTCAATCAGAAAGACCTGTTATTGAGCATCTGAAATTCATTCTGTCCAACAAATCAACTAAAAATGACAAGAAAACAAATTCATCACGTTTGTCTTCATTATAACAGCTACAGTAACAGATTCAAAGTGTTGTGTTAAATAATTATAATTGCTTACCAAGGCTGCATTTATTTGATAATAAAAGAAACAGTAAATAGTGAAACATCATTACAATTTCAAATAACTGTTTCTTATTTTTAATATATTTTACCATTTTAATTCTTCAGATATTCTAATATGCAGATTTGATCTGAATAAGATGCCTGCTCAAACAATGCTTTATATTTGCTGCTCAAGAACCATTTCTTATATCTTATTATTATCAATGCTGAAAACAGTTGAAGCATCCAGTTCATATTTTTGTGGAAACCATTTTTCCCCAGAAAGTTTTTTTTCCAGAAATTTCAAAATAAACTTAAAAAAACAAATCTTACTCCAAACTTATGAATGTTATAGTGGATCACAGTTTCCACAAAAATATGAAGCAGCACAACTGTTTTCAGTATTGATAATAATAAGAAACATTTCTTGAGCACCAAATGTAAAGCATTGTGTTAGCAGGCGTCTCAGTGAACCTCTTTTTTATTTGCACTCATTGTACATGCTTCACTCGAGTTTTATTAATCCAGCAGGCAAGTGATTGTTTCTCAGAGTTCTGTGACCTAAATAGACAACCCACTGTAAAATGTTGTTATCAAAATAAGTGTAAGTCAGCTGACTAATCAATGAAGTTGCTATTTAATTGAAATGATTATATAAAATGTGAAAGCATTATTTATTTGCTTATATCACAACCATCAACACCTCCTGCAACC